TAAAATAAGACCCAACTTTATAGACATTTCGTTAAGCACTTTTGATACTGTAACTGGAACCCGGTTAAAAGCAACTTATTCGACTGTGTAATCCTGGTATCAAAATTATATATAAACCCACTATTTCTTTAAGTACATCATGCAGTATTTAATACAGTTTTCCCAAAACTCTAAGTGTTCTCAGTTATCGCGTAATGGATTTGGTTGAAGCTGGTTTATTCTGTTTTGAGGTTAGAGACGCTTTAGGCGGATGAAGAGACATGACACTTGTATTAAATTCTCATACTCGAAACTTGATAACGGACAAGAAGCGCCATTTCACTGTAACACTACTATCTGACGCATCTGGAAGCCTAAATCAAGTACCTTTTGTTGAAAGCGCCTGAAGGAAACAACTCTTCATTCAGTCTGTCCTGCGCCAGCTGAATCCAATTTATAACTGCATATTTCTTTTAAAGTTCTATTAATGTATTCCACCTTCTGCACCTAGGTCTCCCTAGAGATTATCCAACTAAATTCTGTAGGAATATGGCTGCCTTCTGGGTTGCAGCGCCGTGGTGTCTGGTAGAAGTTTATCAACGTTTCAGAGGTCCTTGCCGCCTCCATCATCAGGGCGATGATCTCCAGACTACATGGCGCTTCAACCCAGAGGACAACTGTCTTCGGACTCACCGCCGTCAAAACCTCTAACCCTCTTTCTTACTTTTCCCGCGCCTACCAGCGTTGTTCCTCCTTCATCCATTTTGATTTATTTAGTCTCCCCTGCTATAAGGTGGAGAGGTGAAGAGTACAGTACATCAAATTTTGACTTAGACTCTGTTTGATTTATTACATCTAAATAAGACTCTTTTCTTCGCCCTGTGTCTAAGTTATGTTTTACGACGTTCTAGAAGTTTCTCGCTGTATATCAATGTATCGCCTAAATTTAATACTAAAAGCAATTCCGGAAACGACATATCTATTTAATAGACGCACACGACAATACAATGATTGAAATGATTTGTGTATTGTGAAGTTCTTTGTTTCGTATTATCTCCAAAACATACGTCTCACTTCCAAATATTCTTCCAAATATTTTTTTCTCAAAAATTTCAGTTTCTGTTCATCCTCCAATCTGAGAGACTGAACAGTCTTCAATATTATACTTCTAGACGTACAGGGCTACTAAATAGTCAAATGTTACATAATTTACAAGATGGCTGTCTTCTGGGTTGTAGCGCCGTGTAGTTTGGTAGAAGTTTACCACCGTTACAGAGGTCGTTGCTGCCTCCATCATCAGGACGATGAGTCATCTCCCTGATAGTGGTGACAGAAGACAGCCATCTTTGTACTCACCTCTATGAAACCTCAAATCCTACTAATTAAAACAAATTTTGACTTAAATCTTATAAGAAAATTTGTATTTCAATCATGGAGACTCAGCCCCCACGAAGTCCCTAAATCACTACTGTGTATTCCTACCAGCTTCATGGTGATTCTTGGGCGATGATGACAGAAGATTTGAAGATGCTAAGGCACTATGAATTGTGACCGGCTTCCTTTGTATTTATATCAGCAGAGGTGGAGCTACGTCACAGCGGGTGATATCGGTGTGTTGATAGGGCGGAGGTGGGAGGTCTGAGAAAGTGTTGAACTGGGATGGTTCTTTTGAAACGTGGAAGGGATGAGCAGAACAGGGATGTTGCCCCATGTGCAGATTCTTCAAGGGCATTTCTTTGGAATTCTCCGATCGACATGATGGTACCCAGGTCAAGGGGCCGGTTGCGTTCTCATGAATAGGACAGGTCCGCTTGTGTAACCCGTAAGAAGGCGAATGAGGCACGTGACTTCGTTAAACGTATCATTTGTGTGATTTAATGAAACATTTAGTACGTATCATAATCTGTTTGCTTGTCAGAATCGTATATTATACCTGTAACGTTAATTATTATGAAGAAAAATAAATTATGTACAGGTACATGTTAGCGTGTAAGCACGTACTACGTCGCGTTATGGTAATTATTCTTACCATTATGGGCATCATTCAGCGCATAGGATTTCTAAATAGTGCGAGTAAAAATTACCTTCATGTAACATGCGTATTTGTACAAAATGGTATTTAATTTCACTGCATTAAGTACAAGGAAAATGTTTTCTCTACGTCTGCTTCCTGTTCAAAATTGAGCATCGCACTCAGAACGTCTTGATTATTGTTTAACAATGCTGTTTTAACTAAATTATTTAAATTTTGATTTAGAAATGTGTAGATGTTAATAAATTCTAACTTGGGAATAATAAGTCAATCTGCAGTGTTCTATAGCAAGATGGGTCATGTTACAGATCCGGAGAGACTGGGAAAAAACACAAAACCCCCTCATTAAGGTTAAATAGAGTGATAGATTTTGAAGTTGGGGTAATTATCATATCCATCACTAAAAGTAAACTTGGTTGATTTGTTAACAGTTTATATAATAAAATGCAAACTATCTAGGGCCTTATTAACTCAAAGACTGTTTATCAGGTGTGATAACGAATAAGCTGAAAGAGTAAAATAAGGAATGGATAGAAAGGCAGGGGAATGAGAGATTCTGATTTAGATAAAACGTGCAAGAATGGCTTTGTTTTAGAGTGGAATGAGAGATTCTGATTTATATAAAACGTGCAAGAATGGCTTTGTTTTAACCGTTAAAAAGCATTCGGCTAGAAGGACATAAGACCCTTATGACGCTTTAGCACGTCGTTTGTAATAACATGAGCAGATTGTTCTCTTATGACAGTTTTAGCAATCTTGTAGCAGTTATAGACATGCTCAGAAAATCGTTGTTCGAGAACTTTTCGGTAGGAATATTCAAATTTTGTTCCTTGATTTACTGATCATCTATTCGTTTTATATAGCGTGAAGTGGCAAGATGCTTAAGAATTGTGGAGTTGAAAAGATTTGGAAAGAAAGATTCATGCACTCCATCTCAGCCGAGTGGTTACCACTCCTGTTCCTTATTTGGAAGGTCACGGTTTCATGATGATACCAGGTTTTCTGACTGCGGTTGCCAAAGTTTTTTCTCAGTCACTCCAGGCACATGCCGGGATAGTATCTTACAGTTAGACCGCGAATGATGCCTTCCGTCAATATGTGTGTTTGTGTGTGTGTTTTTATATATATATAATTATTGAAATATTTGCTTATGCAACTTTGACCAGTAGACGTAATATCAGTAAATGGGCTTTTCTTTATAAAAGCGTAAATGGAGTTCTAGATATTAGTGAATTCCTTGAATAATTAAATTTTATTATAAGGAAAGTCAAAGTACGTCCCAGAATTTCTTCTCTTTAGCTTGACAGTCCGTCTACACAACAATCTTTTATTATAGTCTCAGTATTTATTAAGATCTACTTCATGTTTCGATCTTAATTGGTCATCTTTAGGTGGTTCTTTTAAGTTTTAGAAACTTATAGATATGACTGCTAAATTGTATGTAAATTTTCAGTCACGGACTTTACTTTAATTGGACAGCCTGTCTCTGTCAGAGTCAAAATAAATAAATAAATTAATAAAAACAATATTTTTTCCTGCATATTCATTATGTATTTTATCATTCGACACTTCAGTCGCGGAAGTCTGAGGTCTGAAAGCGTCTTTAATAAACCATAAATAAATAAATTCACCCCAACAGTTCTTTGAAGGGATTAATAATAATAATAAATCATTCGGCTGGATAACCACCTCAGGCCGAATTCTGAAACAGGTTTCTTTGATATAAGGAGTGATAACCTTTTGAATTTAGCAGTTAAATTGGTGGCAGCTACTGAACGAATTCGTGCGTGAAAGATGAGTGTGGGAAAGACGCGACGTGGAACTCCTTCGGATTGTCATATAATTCCTCACAACTGTTAACAGACGCTCACAATAGCACTTTTACCACTGTGGTGGTATCCTAACATTTTTAGGTCCACAATTTTTATTTGGTTCTCGCGATAAATTACATACATTTCCCAGGTAATGCTACATCTCAGATGAATGGTCGACATCTTCTCACTGTGGAGGCTGGACAGTCCTTATGGAATTTGTGGTGGATAAAATAGTCCTGGGTAGGTTTTATTCGAGTTCTGTCAATATTATACTAATGCTGCTCTATATAATATTCGTTCATATCATCTGGGGGACGGATAAAGATGATTTGGTGATGCATGTAATTTATAAGTCAGTACACAGTACGAATGTTACACCTGCAGAGATACCAGCCAAGTATTAAAATGATGTTAGATTTAGTGCCCCTTATGATTAATCGGACCTCAAGATTCCCTTCTCATCCCATATCACTGTATAACAGAATGCAAAACACGTCAATCCACAGATACGAGATACTTTCCAAATGAATAAACTAATTTTTTTCTCAACATTTAACAATATAATTATTTTTATTACAAATAATAGCAGCAACACAACCGAACATCGTTATGCTGCAACCCACAATTTTAAAGATTTGAACGTTGTAATAATGAAATATTTTATTATATCTGATTTGCTATTTTTTCATCGGAAAAAATTAAATAACACTGGACACATCTATTATTTGCATCGTGTGCAGTAGCTTTGTTACAATCTGAGTGAACATGATGATAGCCATTTTGGTCGAAACATGTAGTTGAACATTAATGATTATCTGTCGTCTTGCGCTGCTTATATAAGGAACAAGGAACTAAAATTAATTGTTATAGAAACGTAACTAATGTCAAAGCTTGTCTGGTAATTAGGTGTTATTTTCTCACGTAACTGGTTTTTTCTCATGTGCTGCTTTATATGAACCGATCTTTTCCTAAATTGCGCCTTATCCCGTGTTAGGTGTGTGGAGTTTGCACGGTAGCCAAATGTCATTGCACAGATGTTCGGCTTCTCCTGTGTCTCTCACACAAAATTCACGTAACATATTGACATTAACATTAAAATTAAAATTAGGTGGATTGGCAGGGTTTGATGTTGCATAAGAGATACGTCGTGTTATATACAGTACTACCGGTCTTCATTTGCATCTGTGGATCATCAAGAACTGTATAATGGGCGAAACATGTTGGAGCATATAGGTTTGTTTATAAGAAACTCATTCAGAATTTGATAGGAACGCCCCTCAGAAAGTGGCCAGTTAAAAGTGGGCGATTGTCACGCAAAAACCGGTTGTGAGGATTAGTTTGTGCTTTGAAATGAATCTCGATTGTACAGTATGTTCAGTTTAAAATGCAACTCTTACTACAGCAGTATTCGTAACCTTTTGAAACATCATTATGAAAATACAAACGAGTTTTAACTTTGAATAACGTTACACGGTACACTCGACGGAAACTGTAAGATTAAGGTAACGCTGGTGTGTAACTTCTTCAAACGCCAATAACTCGAGACCTATGTAAGATAGAGAATATGAACCTACATGTAAATTAAAGAGTAAAATGATGTTTACTTTATTCTATAATGCATATTTTAAACATTGTCAAAATAATTACCCAAGACATGTAATAACTCAACTTCAACCGCTTGCCACGTCTAAAGCGTAAGAGTTAGATCTGGAAATATTGGAGTGAAATACGTAAATAAACACGAGCTTTTCAAATTTGCAAACAGATTTCAGCTAACTCTTACGGTTTAGGAGTTTGGGCCATTTATTTGGTAATAGAGAACGGTTCTAGAGTGAGTGCGTTGAGTACATGACGCAACACATAGATAAGCTGTCCGCGGATGACGTCACATATAGATAAGATGTAGAGGTATACATTAATGTGTAAATAAAATTTTATTTCAGTACAAATATACTTCTACAGTTAAACGTTATTCAACGTTAACTAGGGAACCGTGGTTCCACTGTCAATTTTTTTTAACAGGAGGAACTTATAGAACAGCCTCACAACAGATGATGAAAATGTTTTGCATGTTCTCAAAGACAAGCACCCACCAGTTTTAGTTTGTTTAATACTATTTGCAATGTGTTTTGGGGTCAATTTGGCAATAGACTCTTCAGTAATGTGTTCCTGATCCTCCGACCGTCACTGGTCATTCTAATAAACTCTGGGCGGAGGTTCTAAGTTCTGACGTTTGTTCCCTTAGCAGAATCCTACCGGTGTCAAGGAATTCTGTTGACAGTCGGTCTGTTGTCTAATTCTAAACTCTTCACAGACGCTATAAAACGATTTAGATGCTAAAAAGATGTTCAAGAATGAACACACATTCTGTTCGTGAAAACACCATGTTCACGTACGCACCAATCGTGTGTGAACAGCGGCCTAGTAGCCAAGAGTGCTCTGACTGCTCAGGTTGTAAGAGTCTACTACAAGCTACCAACTTTTGATTTAACTTTTTACCTCAGTACAAGATTTTTGTTGGATTGCGTCTTAAATGTTATATTCTGTATTAAATTCTGAGCTTTAGTAGGAGTGGTTTTGAATTCTTTGGTTACAAACGGAAATTCAGTATAATAGGTAGTGTAGAGATTTGTAAGTATTTATCTAAGTATTTAATGTCGTAACAAATCTCATAATTTTCTCTTCAGTTTAAAATATGAAGTTGGACAAAGCGAAAGAT